TGCTGCCTCTGTGCTGTGCCCCACAGGGCAAAGCCGGTCGCCGCGAACCAGCGCGAGGGTGGTTCAAGTTAACGCTGACTGTCATCAGATCAATGCGATACAAACCCGGACTTTATCACCTATCAAAACTGGGCCATCGCTGCCAATGAAAGCGATGCAGTGCCTCTCCTGCCTGCTGGGTGCTCTGTTCGATGTCGAAGCTGGAGCGGCACTGGCACCGGCGGCGTGGGAGCCAGGCTGTCCGGTGCCTCTCCTGTCCCTTCAGCCCATGCCGTGGTGGCCTTTCCCAGCAGGATCAGTGCTCTGCTCCAGGAGAACCAGCTGCAACGGTGAGTTTCGTCACCCTGGGCTTTGGGAGCCCGCCTGCCCAGCCAGGGCATCCCCACCGCCCAGCTGTCGCCGAGCAGGTCTGAGCTCACGAGGTGGCAGCCTCAGGTCCTGCACTCCGCAGGCATTCAAGTTGCATTTAGAGATGTCCGCTCGCTATGTGTTTCTCAACCTCTTTATTTTCACCTTCAGAAGACTGATTTTTGTGGAAAAAACTTTTGTGGGTCATTTCCTATTTTTCTTATGGCTTTTAAATGCACTTTGGCCTGGCAATGACCTGACAAGTAAGTGGAGCCGTGCAGACATGAAAGCAAAGGTGTCTGCAACTCTCTGCCTAAATACTTGCCTCGGGTCTCTTGCAGCACCCATGGTACCTGTAGGGGCTACAGAGGAAACCTGGTAAACAAACCAGCAAACGAATATACTTTGTGCAGCGACAAAATACATGTGCGTCAGGCACATCTCCCCAGCATGAGGAAGGCTGTGTTGTGGTGAAGCCTATTCTCACACATCGTGTGCCTGCGGTGGGGAAAGGGGATGTGAGTTACCAGGCTGATGTAGGGCTACTGCTTTGCTTCTGTGCTGAGCCCTTCATCAGGCCCCCTGAGTCCCTGCCTGCGTGTTTGAGAGCCAGGATCAAAATCTGGCACCTCACTGACAGATGCAGCGGGAAGCCCAATGGCTGTGAGTGAAAGAACAGCAAAAAAGGGAGCAGTTTTCAGGTGGGTGGGTGTACTGTAGCACCTACTCAACCTCCAGGAATAAACACTCCTACCTTGGCCACCGCAGTATTGCTTGGGTGGCTGCACCCAGCCAGCGATGCCCGCTCCTGAGCAACAAGAGCAGCTTTTAGGGTTTTTAGGCTTGTCAGCCAGGGGACATTACCACAAATCAAGTGAGGGTGTGAATTTTGAGCACAAAAGCCCTTTTTGCAATTCAAAGTGTTATTGGTGTGCTGCCCCTCTGGCTGTCCCCGCTGGGCTGGGGGCCTCCACCCCTCACGGCATGGCTCGCTGGTTTAAACGTCTCAAACAGGAGGTCAGCTTTGCCTTTTTGAGCTAAAAGAGGTTATGGCATCGGGAGAGGAAAGAGAGGAAAAGATGCCCATGCCTTCAGTCGGCCGGAAAAAGTAGTAATTGATATATTGGTGTGTTTACAGCTGTGACGGGCCCTGTCCTACAAAGGAAATGAAGAGGAAAGCTGGCTGCCAATAGTCTAAAAATGTGATGGGTAGCATGCTTTTACAGCGAGCGTGTTTGCCTGCAAGGAAGGTTACAAAGATAATTGGTAATTGTAGGTCAGACAGAACGGATTGCTGCAATTCGTGGGAGAGTCGTAAGTCCTGCATGGCCGCCGGGGGCTGTGGTGTTACAAGCACAGGACTGAAAAAAACACAAAACATTACGAAGGAGAGAGCCCTATTTACAGCCCCTGCAGTGCCCCAGGATATTCAGCTAACTGTCAGTTCAGGGAAATAAATTATTATCCTTGCATGTTTGTGAGAGGCAGGGAGACACAGCATGCGCCTTTCCTGTCCCTCCATCCTGCCCCGCAGCGTGGCACGTCCAATGCACCGCTGTGCACAGATGCCACCCCACAGCGTGGGATCTGGGGACCAGGGCTTGGGCAAGCACCAGGGGATGGGCCTGTGCCAGAGCACTCACCCCGGTGGGGCTGGGCTGGAGCATGGACCTGCGGGTGGCACCCGCTGCCGGGCAGGATGGAGGCGAGGAGAACCCCAGGGACTGTCCTAGGGGTGGGGGAGAAGGAAAAAGGGCTGTCAGAGGCAGTCCTGGGATGCCAGGACGGGGAGAACATGGGTTTCCCAAGGTGGAGGTGGGATAAAGCAGCAGCCACAGCTTGGGCTACCTAGGGAAGGGAAGGGGCAAGCGGCAGCAAGGAAGCTCAGCTGCTGGCGTTTTAACAACAGGAACAGGTAACTGCGTGTCTCGGGAAGCTTGTGGTCATTAAGAACATGGTTAAACAAGAGAAAGAAAGGAGGAAGGTAAGTGTGGGCGGAAGTAACACCGCAAAAGGCTGGGCACATTTTGATAAGGTCATCATGTTGAACATCCTGAGGCACAACATCCATAGAGGCACAACAGCAAACCATCTTTTTTTAGAGTGGCTAGAATTAATGACAGGCATACAAGCATGAGCAAGCACATTATAAAATACAACAGAGAAGTAAAATATAACACAGAACAAATGTCAATCACTCAATTTACTGGAATAAGTTCACATAAACCTGATCATTGCAGGCAAAGTATGTGGAAAATGTTAATGACTTTGTTTATTGACTTTACGATTTAGGTGGCCTAGAAGCTCCAGCTGGCAAATAGTTAATTTTGCTTCTCATCTCTGCAAGCAACAGCTCAGTTTAACAGAGCTCAGAGAGATGAGCAAAATTATTTTCTCTCTGCTTCTCCTAGCGGAGGGCACTCCCTCTGTGATGCAGCGCTTTCCCGGCGTGGTGGCTCCTGCTGCAGAGCTGGTTACCTGCTTCCCTTCTGCACGTGTGGGCCACGGGGCAGCGGAAAGGAAAACAGCTTCAAAACCAGAAAAACGTGACTGGAGCCCCAGAAAATCTGTCACAGAAATGAAAGAAGTGATTGGAATGAATGGCACTGGTTTATCACATTTTCTGAAAGGCACACCGTTGCAAGTCCCTGTTTTCCTCGAGCACCACATCAGAGAGCGTCCGGTAGCAGAGTTAGGCAAGGCAGTCTGCAAGCAACGCAGAGGGTCGAGACACTGAAAAAAGCATTGCGGTAACTCTGTGCCTGGCAGGTGCTCGTTTGTGGGTTGCTATATTATTAACCTAGGCTATTTTTACATCCCAGCCCTGGAAATCGTGCCAGGCGAGCGAGGTGACTCACATCAGGCTGCACCAGCCTCGGTAGCGAGGTGCATTTGGGGAAGCTGCCGTGTCCCAGGCCACCGTCACACACGGCATTTCTGCCATCTCTCCTTGCCCCTGTGCCGGTGGCAATGGCCCCAGGGACCCCTGCTGCAGCTGCGGCCCATCCCCAGGTCCCCTCAGCAGGCGTAGCCCCCTCACCCAGTCGCTTCATGGTTGCTTTTGTTGTTTTTCCCCAGGGCTTTCTCCAGGCTCCGTAGGGACAGTGTCCTGCAAACAGTGCCTTTCTTTCTAAAAAGTGCAGGCTTTAAATTGTCCTCGGGAGCTATGCTGGCAGGGAGAGACCCCCAGGGTGCATGCAGACCTGTGGCCACCAAAAGATTTTGGGAGCCAGGCTGGCCTGGTGAAAGCAGGGCGTTCATGCAGAGGCTCTCACTGCCTAAAGCCACACCGGGCCAAACGATCAGCCGGTTTCCCTTGTGGACAATATTCCGGCACTGGCACCCCCCAGGAGGGCACCACTGCCCCGGCACACATCAGCCTGCCAGGACTCGTCTCTGCTGACCACCGACAGGCGCCGTCAGAGCCGGGGGCTGCAGGCGAGACGACCAGCATCAGCCCACGGATGGGAGAAGGGCTTGTCCTTCATGTTAAGCTTCGCTCTCGTGCTTTAACGTGGCTGCTGTTTTCCTCATCATTTTGTGGGGATTTTTCATGGCTTTATTATTTTAATTTCCATTCCATTTTCTTTATTTGAATGGCTTTTATTTGGTTTCTGTTTTCATTCATTTTTATTGTGTCTCGTTTGATATTTACTGGTATTTATCTGAAAGTGATAAAAAACGTATATAAATAATGACAATTCTACCTATTTAATTCATATTCATTTCTCTTTTATGCCTGCTGTCTCAATAATGTTTCTACAAAATTTTTTTATCTTGTGAAAATATTTGAAAAAAGTGTAAATAATTTGAAAAAAATCAACCTTTTCCCCTTTTCTTCTTAAGAGACGTATAATTATCTTTTTTTCCACAGCATTCCTTTGAAAATTTTTGGCAATTTCTGATCTTACTGACATGTTTGTTCCTTCCTGCTTAGAGCTATGCGGAACATTGCCTGCACAGTAATTTCATTAGATGTATCGATTATGCCAAAGAGCGGGACTAAAGATGTTATTTACTGTGATCTGAAGGCGGGTTTGGGCCTTTGATTTGGGTTTTTTTTTCAAAGCTGCAAAAAAAAAAGAGAGGGGAAAAAAAGAAAACCACTCTTTTAAACTGCTGAGATGTGCTTATTCCCTGACGGGTAGTTAGCACGGATGGAGTAATGCGGCGCAGGCACGTCACATTCAATGTGCTGAAAGCATGTTCATGTCAATCCGGGGCTCGGGGGGCTCTCCCTC